CGTACCACATCGAGGATGTAAGCCTTCAGAGAATTGAGCTGTGCGAGATCATGGCTCCTTTAGGGCATACGTTGTAAGTGTGGTTGACTTTCAGGACTCCAAGTTACCTCCCGTATGCGAGCAACACGACTAACAATACTCTGTCAGATACGGCAACTCCAAGATTCCAAGAAACGTTCTCCAAGAGAAAAACGAGCAGATTGTCTCCCTGCTCTTCGTCTGGAAAGAGAACCTCCCCGAAGCTCTCCAAGTCGACCTCGAAGACACCGAGGGAACATACCTGCCACACGTCCTTCTCCTCCAGTCGGTAGCCCCCTGTTCCCCATATTCCAAACCTTGCCGCAACCCAGACACCATCTAACTTTCACACAAACAGCATGCAATACTACCAAAACGTAATCCACGCCCACCGCCCCTGGATGTCCTCCTCCTACCTCCAGCCGCAGCCGCCGCAGGGCCCGGGCTACATGCACGCACAGCGCATGTGCATCGAGTCCGCCGCCGCCGTCGCCAAGCTCATCCTGCTGTACGAGCGCCGCTACTCGCTGCGCCGCGTCAACATCCAGGGCGTCGCCGTCATCTTCTCCGCCGCCATCATCCTCATCTTCGCGTCCATGTCGCGCCGCCGCCGCCGCCGCGCCAAGACCGCAGAGACGGCGACGCACCTGAGCGTGTGCTTCCGCGCACTCGAGGAGCTCTCCGCCTCGTGGGAGTGCGCCAAGCGCTCGCGCGACTTTCTGCTCATGCTGCAGCGCAAGTGGGAGCTGAAGTCGCGGCGGCTGAGCGGGGCCGGGGCGGCGGCGGCGAGACGGCCGGGGATGGGGCCGACGTCGGGTGGTGGGGGGTTGGTGAGGGCGGCGTCTGCGGGAAACCAGTCGAGAAAGAGGGCGAGAACGGATAGTCCTGCGGGATCGAGGAGCGTTGGCAGCTTTCAGAGCATATCGCCCTCGCAGCAGCCGGGAGACCATGGTGTGGTGGACGAGAGGGGGGAGGTCGACCACGAGGGGATTGATATGGATATGCGGCTTGACCTCGACTGGGTCTTTGCCGCGGGAGGACAGGCCATGCCGGCAACTTGGGATGGTTTGCTGCCTCCTGACGCGTTGTACTTCAACCACGACGGCCCGGAGTAGGCCAGTCATTCCACGTAATGACATCAAAAGCGCACCAGCAGAAGACGACTGTGAAAAGACATGATGTCGAACGCCGGCCATGCTAACCTTGAATTACTTTTGATATGGTATCGCTACTAAAAGTACAGGAATTGCTTCTCCACTCGTGAACAATCTCCCCCTTTCCCCTCAACCCCTATGTCCCTCACGCCGCCTCCTGCATATACGGCCACGACCCCCTCCACGACAACATCGTCATCAGCGCCTGCGGACTACTCCTCCCAAACTGCGCCCTCGCCATCGCCAGGCTCTCGCCGTACTTACTCGCCCTCTCGACCGTGTAATTCAGCTGCCCCATCTCGCCGTACTGCCACACCCGCATCGTCGTCGGCGTCCGCCCCTCGGCGCGCTCCACCGCCACAATATTATCATCCGCCCGCTCCAGCGTCAGCCGCGCCTGCTCAAAATCCTGCGCCGTGAGCTGCAAGCCCGCCAGCGCGAACAGGCACTTGCACGCCTCCCGCAGCCGCCCCTGCGCCATGTACGCCGCCGACGTGCTCGCGTACAGCGCCGTCATCTCCGCGAAGTCGCTGCCCCCCGTCTCCCCCAGCCGCGCGAGTAGCTGGCCCTGCAGCCCGTGGATGTAGTGGATCGTGATGTTCAGCAGGCCGAGCCGCTTCTCCAGGTCCTTGGCGCCGTATTTCACTAGGGAGTGCAGGATGCGCACGCGCTCCCTGCGGTCGACCCGCCGGATGCGCGCCCAGATGAGCGTCAGCGGGTGCCGCGGGCCGTGGACCTGCTCGTGCAGGTTGCAGATGTGCGGGAGCAGCCACTCGGAGATGTCGCGCGGCTGGCTGAGCACGGAGTAACACAAGAAGAAGGCCAGCTCGGGGTCCTGGTCCTTGATGATCCAGCGGAGGACGTCGAGCTGCGCACACAAGGCCGCGTGGGCGCCGCGGAAGTCGCCGCGGCGGCCGACGATGTGGCGGTGCGTGTCGCTCATGAAGTCGCCCCAGCGGTTGGGGCGGTCGCGGGACGGCGCGCGCTGGCCGGCGGCGCAGAGCGTGCCGTCGACCATGGTCCACATGCGGCCCTGGAACGCGCCGTCGAAGAAGCCCTTCATGAGGCGCAGGATCTCGTCCGGGATGCGCAGGTCCGCGGCCGGGTCGATGACGCGCGGCATCGGCGGCGGCGAGGGCGTGCGGCAGCGGATGCCGTAGCGGGCGACGGCCTCGTAGTCTTCCTCGTCTACCGCGCCGGCCCCGGCACCGGGCCGGCCGAGGCCGGGCTCGCCCTTGAGCAGCCGCACGAGCTCGCGCTGCGCGTCCTGGTCCTGGTCCGGGGAGGCGTAGCGCGGGTCGCGCTGCAGGTCGGGGCGGCGCTTGAGGTAGTGGGCGATGCGCTCCCACTCGACCTCCTGGTTGCGGACGGTGAAGCGGGTCTTTTTGCCGGCGGCGTCGCGCTTGTTCTTGACCTGGAGCATGGCCAGGACCTCGGCTTCTTTGAACTTCTTGTCGAGGCCCCAGCGCTTGATACGGGTCTTGAACATCCTCTCCCTAGAGTGCGGGTAACGCTCGTGTCAGTCCCCATTTTTAAATCATTTCACATCCCGAATCTCCTTCTTGGCCCTTCTCTCGAAAGAGAGGGCGGGGGAGGAGAGATTGTTTAACATGGTGTGTGGAATTCTGGGTAATTCTTTTGGGAAAGGGTTTAAGAGCAGCAAGGGTGTGGAAAGAGTGTGAACTAGCTTTGGACGGATGTATGGATGGGTTGGGCAAGGTGGGTTTCTTACGTTGCATGGAAGTAGTAAGTCTCCTCCATTATCTGCTTGACCTCCTTCAACGTCTTGTTCTCGTCCCGGTACAGCCTTGTGATGATCCCCCTGTGGCACGTCCAATGGTCCTCTGTGGCGTACACCTTGCTCTTGGTGACTATGGGCAGCGCCACAGGGGCGGAGACGGGGACGTCAACAGGCGAAACAGGAACAGACAGAGGAGCAGCAGCAGCAGGAACAGCAACAGCAGAAGCACCCTCGAGGCACGGGGAGAGCTGCTGCTGCTGCTGCTGCTGCGGAGACTCCATGGTGGTTGGTGGTGGTGGTGGTCGGGCGCAGCGCGCGGCGGCGGGCTGGGCTGGCGGTTGGCGTGGAGTCCCAAGGTTTTTCCCAAGGTCCAGATCCAGTCCAATCCAGTCTGACTATTCCGTCTCCTCTTCGCCCGATCGAGTAGTCGTCGGTCAGCAAATAGGTGGTCCTTCCCGCGCGAGGCTCGAGGCTGCGGGACAAGCAGATTTGGAGACAGCCCAAGCCACCCCCCGTTCAGCCAAACAAACCGCACAACAACCCAGACGAGGACAAAAAAAGAGGGGAATCCCCCAGGCTGGGGGGGACGGGAGGAGGAGCAGAGAGAGAGGAGCTGAAGTCCGAGGGAGAGATGGAGAGATTGGGGGCTCCGCCGTCAGCAAGATCGGGCGAAGGCGCCTTTCCTGGGTTTTCCTGGTTCAGTAACAAGTTCGGTGTAAGAGCGAGGAAGCTTCAGCTTGGGGGTTGGCGAATCCTTCCTCCCTTCTGCTGGTTCAAAACTGTGAAGGACGGAAGAGTGAATGTGATAGGTGTAGAGCAATTCCCCTTTCCAGGAGTTGCGCCCGAATCCTTCTTTTTGGGGGCCGGGAACTGCAGACCGAGCAAAATAATTGTGGGAAAGGGTGCGGCGCACGCACAGAAACAGAGCAAGTTCGGTCTTATGTTGGAAGGGCGGTCCTTGGGATGCTCGAGTGCCTGAGGGAGGGGGAGGGGGAGAGGACCAACAGCACGCAACGAGGGGGGAGAGGACGGAGGCCGGCGGGCGGTGGTATGTGACTCGGTGACGTTGGACCCCCCGACTCGAGCGGCATCCGTGATTGGTCCAGGTCAAAAGGACTTCGCAGCTTTAGCGAGATTTCCCGTGCAGGGTCGGCTTTTGGTGGGCATCGGCGGGAGCTGCGCGGATGCGGCGCGTGCCGGAGGAGTTGATTGGTCGTGTCTGGCGTGAAAGGAACATTAAGCAAAATGGGCGATGAGGCTTGTGTTGTTTTCGGGATTTGGAGGTGGTTTGATGATGGTGGATGAAAATGGCTTGAGCGAGATAGATGCGGGTCAGTCCAGTCTTCTTAGTCTATTTGGCGGAGGGGCGGAGTGGCGTATGCAACCTTGATTCAACAACTTCAAGAGCCTCGATGGGTGAGTGGTGGTGATGGTGGGTGGTACGAGGGGTAACCTGATTGCTGTTCCGTGATGTTTGCTCTCCGGTGTTCGTCTCGAATGGCAGTGAAATGTCGACCGGCGATCCGGCCTCGAAACGGGGGTGGTCGAGAACAAAGGACGGGAACTCAAAAGGCCCCCGCGTCTTGACAGCACAGCACAGCACACATCCACACTGCTCACCACACCTCGGCAGAATAACTCCTTAAATGCACCTTCATGAGGCTGCAATTACAATTATCTCTGCTCCCCCTTTCCCCTCAATTAACGGAGATGCTGACCACGCAGCAACCTTCCCTGCTGCCTCTCCCAGCCTATCCTGTCAAGCATGGAACGCGGCAGGCTGGATGAACACTTGGAGTAACACGCAAAAGATTGCCGGTAGGTAGCAAAGGTAATTTGGAATGAAATCGCACATCATGTCTGGTTTGCTGTCTTATAGCCCCCTCCCCGAGCGCTCCCGGCCTATGATCAGGCCACGCAGCGACGCAGTCACGAAACACACAAATCCCGAATGTCACCGCGACGCAAGAGAGACTGTTGCACTGGATTTCGCTACGGATACATCTGCCGAGCTGCAACTACCGATCCCCACCCGCATGTTGTAGAACCCTCGCTCTCTCTCTCACCACCACCCAGCCAGCCAATATCTACCAATCCGTATACCACCGATCAAACAAATCAGCAGGCGGCGGCCCGGACGCGTACCCGTTGATGCTCGGGCCCTCAAACCTCGCCCGGAACATGTTATCGAACTCGTCCCGCGTCATCCCCGCGCCTCCCCGCCGGTCGCGCTCGTTCTGCTCATCAGCCCTATTGTACCCCGGGCCTCCTCCTCCACCGTAACCCCCACCGGCACCGGGGGAAGAGCCCTCGCCGAAGCCAGGCGGCGGCCCGAACATCTCCTCAAAGCTGACCCCCACACCACCACCACCACCACCACCGGAGCCGTAGCCGTGGCCGTAGCTGCCGGCCTCCGGGCCAAAGCGCCCGCCGAAACCCCCGCCGCCAAAGACCCCGCTAAGAAACTCCTCGTACCCCATCTCCCGCTCCTCTCCGTATCCGCGCGGCTCATACCCTCCGCCTCCTCCATATCCCTCCCTCTCGTCCATGCCCATCCTGCCGCTACCGCCACCACCACCACCTCCTCCACCACCGGCTCTCCTCCGAAAAGCCTCCATAAAAACCCGTCCCCACTCCTCCTCGCTCCTCCCCCTGCCTCCCGTGTCCATGTACTCAAACGCGGCAGACCGATACGGCGACGCGCCAAACGTCCGCTGCTGCTGCTGCTGCTGCTGCTGCTGCTGGCCGCGCTCACGCTCTCGCTCGCGCCGCTCGCTCTCAAAGTTCTCCCGCGCAAAGCGGCCCGTTCCGCGGTAGAAGCCGTCGGGGTACTGGTTGTCGTCCTCGCGGCTGCGGTTGCTGTTGTCGTGATGTTGTCGCTGGTCCCGGTCCCGGTCCCGCCCACCGCCTTGCGCACGCGTGGCGGCGGCGCGGCCCGGCGAGTTGCTGGCCTCAGAGTATCCATCGAATTCGTAGTGCATTGTGCGAGAGTCGTGTGTATGTCTTGCAAAAATTGAAGAGGATGTTCGGGCTTTTGACTTTATGCCATGTCTGCTCTCAAGGACGCTCCCCCCTGCGCAGGACGTGGAGGGTATTTATGGGGTGTTTGCTGGTGGTTATGGTGGCACAGTGACTTACTCCCAAGCAGTTGTGATATGGCCAGTGATGGAGTGAAAACATGTCGCGGCTACGGTAGCACGCTGGCTAGAAACAGGTCATTCGCGGTGACTCACTTTGCGACGTACATCACTTCACTGCGGCGTTGAGACTTGATTGTTGGGTATTCGCTAATATTTGTTTTTGCAAGCGCAGTAAGGCGCCAATTATCTATATACAAGCTCCAGATGTGAAGCAACTCGCCCCCAGCCTCATGTCTTAGCTTGTCATCTCCTATGCTGAAGATAACAAGCGCTGTCTGTCCACCTGGTGTGCAGGTAAAGGCGGGTATAATAGAAAACATACATTACAGGTATCCAGGATCCAGTAGACGCATAATCGCTCCCATGGACAACGCCGAGCACCAAACAAGTAAAAAAAAAAAAATTGAATTATGTCGTAGCAGTGTTTGCTTCGTTGCGTAAAGAAACGGGGCCTTGGAACCCGGACGCCGGCTTCACGCTGTGCATCTCCATGCCCTGGGAGTCGCCCTTGGGTTGCTCCCGATAGGCACCGAGACGCTGGTCGCCAGAGTTGTACCGCTTCTTGAATTGGTAGTAGGTAGGTGGCCGAGGTCGGCAGAGGACAACGATCCAGTTCTTGAGAATGCTGCCTTGCGTGAAGGCCCGGAAGCGCTCCTTCTTGATGAACTTGTGGGAGTTGATGTACTCTCTAGTTGTCTCGCCTCGCGCCATCAGGAAGATGTGGTAGCCCATGAGGGCGGCCGGGTACAAGAAAGAAATAAAACCGTAGATGACCATCGCAAACGGGACGCGGAAGTCGTCGATGGATTGGCCAAAGGAAATGCCGGAAAGGTTCATGTGGATGAGGATTTGGGCCAGGGAGGCACCGAGAAGGTATAGCGAGAGGAATGTGGCGGATGACACGAAGGCAAAGAAATATCGGTAGTTACGTCGGCCGACGCAGTTGTTGAGCCAGACGCAGTGGTGGTCGTGGGTCTCGATGCAGTTGTCGCAGAGACGGCAGTGGTGGGCGCGAGGAGGTCGCCAGATGTTGCACGTTCGGCAGTGCTTGACGGGAACCTCCATGGCCGCCGTGGAGGACTCGGCGGACTTGATTAGAGTCCAGTCGTTAGTCGGAGGGCCTAGTCGGAGGGGATCTTCGGTGGGTTCCAGAGGAGGGAAGACGTGAAGATTCCGAGGAAGAATCTGAGGCATGTCAGCGATATCACTAATAGCCAGGGGGCTTGACTTACACCAGGGTCAGAAACAGACGCATGGAGGAAGGAGGAGATGCAGATGTAGAAGAGGTATGCGAACGTTATGGGTATGGCAGGGCTAATGTTATGCCATATCCATGGTGCGGAGAAGATGAAGAAGAGTACAGCAGGGATGATGATGAACAGCCCCGTGGCAACGTTCACCGGCCTATGCTTGGTGTTTTGAAAACGACCACCGAGACAGAAGACGGTGTTTCCTTCGAAGTATTCGAAAACGTAGCCCAGGTTGGTTTTCGACTTCCTCAAGTTGTTCTTGTCGACGGGTCTCGAGGAGTCCACCGGGTTCAGCCGCGGAGTCGAAGCATTTGACGAAAGCTTCTCGGCGCCGGGCAGGCTCCGGTTGGATTTGTTCTGCTCGCCGTCGCTTCTCCCCGGCAGCAAGAAGCTTGAGCGGAAGGATCGCGGCGACTTGGCGGGGCTCTGGTTGCCTCGGTCCCTGAACCGTCTGTCCACATTCACGCTGAGGTTCCGGCTGTTGCGCTGTTGGCGGTATATCGGGGTAACGCTTTCAGACATACTGCCTGCTGGGTAATGGCCGTGTGTCGGGCTAGTATTGGCGGTTATTCTGTCGTAGGTTCCCTGGTCGGTGTATTCGGTTCCTCGGGACGGGGGCGGCCTTCCTTCACCATCACCGCTGAGCTGCCTCTGAAGGCGGGCAACGGGGTTCGAAACCGGGTTTGAGATGACGCTGTGCCGAGCATTCGGTCCGCCACTGGCCACAGCAGCCGCAGCCGCAGGACTTGGTTCCGCAGGCTCAGCATCCTCCAGAGTCGGTTGCTGTCGGTTTTGTGTTGAGGGGCGAGATGCGCCGCCGCGCTGGGCCTGCAGTTTCTGGGAACTCATGGGACGAAAAAAGGCCGAAGACGTGAGAGATGGGACATGGCTGCGGCTTGCAGAACTAGGAGGCCGAGTGTTGACGGAGCCGGCAGTGCTACCCCCGCCAATGCTCCCCCTCTTCTCGTGCAGGCTCGTGATGTAGTTCAGTCGCGGAGGGGGCCCTCGTCGCCAGCCTTCCCTGGATCCAGACATGCCTGTCTTTGCCGTTCCTGGCCGCGACACAGTCTCGGAGGCCATGCCGCTTTTCCTGCGCGGGTTCTCGGAAAGAGTCTGCTGGGTGGCGGCTTCCCCGCCGTCGTCGGACGCGATATCGGTCATACGCGAAGAGATGATGCTCGGTGGGCCTGGCCTGTCGGAGCGTCCGGGGAACTGGGGTTTCGGGAAGCCGTCATCGTCGGCGGGAGGTTTGTTGGGGCCGGAGCCGTGGTCTTTGGAGGCCATGATCGGCGCTGCAATCGGTAAACAGCTGTCGGCGCAAACTTATTCGGGTATTCGTATCGGTTCTCCACTATGACATGTCGCTCTCTAGGCGGGGATCAATATCGTGAGGTTGGTAAAGGCTCGGATGAAGACCTGTCGAGGAGAGAGATGGTCGTCGGCTGAGGGCGTCGGGGGTAGAAATCGGCGCTTTGGCGGACGTGACGATTTCGTGCGTGGGCGCGCGATAGGACCGGTAGGCTCGGCGTAATGCAGGGCGGAAGGTTCGAAAAAGGTGGGAGCGCAGAGTGTGCGGTGGGAAATGGGTATTAAAAAAAGGTCGTGCGAAGAGTAGAAGACGGGGAAAAGGCCCGTGAATTAAGGTAAGGTCGGTATGGTACGGTCGGTAGGTCGAGTAGGTGAATGAGGGAGTGTGTGGGTTTGTAGGTATTCGTGTCGTCGTATCGTTGGGACGTCGGGGCGTCGAAGATGGGTCTAAGGTGGTGAGAGAGTGACGGAGTGGGAGAGAAAAGAAAAAGGATTGGCGGATAGGCCGTGACAATGATCGAAGCAGCGGAAAAGAGACGACCAGAGATGGAGTTTCTTGTCTTGCCTGGAGTTCCTTTTTTCGAGACGGACCACCAGGACAGGCGAAAAAGCAACCTCCACTGACTAAAGGTTGGCGAGGCCAGGCCAGGCCAGGGAAGGGAAGCCGGGTGGGAAAAGCATAAGGCAGAGCCGGGGGGGCACCTCACAACACTGAAGGACGCAGTAAGGGGGGCGATGGATGTGCCTGGGTATATCCGTGCTTTGTGCATGCACAACCACCCACACAGGACTAGCGGTGCTGCCTCGACAGGTAGCTGCCGCCTGTCATCACTAACAGAACTCTGCGTGGCTGATGTGACAAAAATGATAGCAGCTGCGCTCAGGCCCCCTCTGAAACGGCTATGGCCGCCTGTTTATGCACTGCGGCGCGCAGTTGTGCCAGCCAATTTTGATTGCAATTGCCGCATTGGGGCCCCCAGGTTTAAATTGCTACAGCAGCACAGCAGCCAACGGGACGCCGCGCCCGTGACGCCAATGCCGGGGTGACGAGATTTCTGGGACGATGGAACCGTTCAGGCACCATTGCGACCTTCAACTGTCTGCGCGCGAGCGACGAGCGACCTGAGCGCTGCGACGCCAGACCTGGACCTGAGAATTGAAATTGAGATGCCCCGCACGGGCCAGTCTTGTTCTAGCCTCAAAGTCTGTTGATGGCGTTCGTTCGTTCTTTGACATGTTCTTCGCGGTCCTCGGAATGAGGCTGTCTTGTTTTGGTCGATGTTGACACTGAATCACATGGCTAGAGACGCGTCTTGCCCCTCTTTGGAGAGCCGTTGAGGCTGCTGCAACGTCGAGGGTCCGCCGCGATCTACCCGGAATCCCGGGTTGGACCTCGCTCATAAGACGCTGCCAATAACCCGTGTCACAGGGAAATGCTTGAACCACTCATTCCAGACGTAATCACACGGTTTGCTGACAGATACATCCGGGAAACACTAAGACTCTGCATTATCGCTTCTGCGACGTCGATGAAATCCATTCATGCCGAAATTGCTTAACGCTGAACCGCCCGCGAATTTCGTCTGGTGTTTCCATATGTTGCATCTCTGTCGAAACATGGGTCATCCCATCAGCGAAAACACTTGCATATGCCATCTCCCGATGCCGACACGAACCGCACGTCTCGACATCTGAACCAGGCTCACAAGCCCTAAGAAGCATAGACAGAAGGTTGCGAACACGGGATGTTTCTAAGTGTAACGTCGTTAGTCGGTATCGCTACTGGCTGCCTCTGGCCGCACACATGACGGCAATCTTTCGTCTGAACGAGTGCGGGTGATCGATGAGAGAGCTTACTGGTCGCGCGCAGTTTTTGGGTTTCGGTCTCACATTCAATGCTGGATTCAACCGTCTTCATCTAGTAGGCGTAACTCCACCTGCCGGTCTGCTCCGTAAACTCCCTCAAGAGACGCTGCCACCAAAGACAACACTGGCGAAATGATGATTATGATGACTTCGCCGACCGATACGGGCTCCACATCGTTAAGAGCCGCAACCGCACAAAGCGTGTTTGCTAAGCCGAAGAGAAACTCAACTGCTCGACGTACGCCAGGTTGCAGTAGATATGGCTGATATGCCATGTTGTCGCTGGATCTCCATGATGGAAGTTCCAGGCGGTCTATCGTGAAATTTATCAAGAATACTTCGAAGTGCTCCAACAGGTTCTGAGGTCAGCATCCAGCTATGCACACGAATGAGTCCGGGATGGCCAATGATGTGTGGCTTTGCTGACCACAACCATATGGACTACCTCCTGCTGTTACTGCTGTGCGTTGGCCACGTATGTTAGGGCGTCTTTGGCACTATCTTGATATCACTGGGCAAGATCGCAAGAATCGAGTCGTAAATCTAGCGTGTTGACCGGCTTCGACGCACCACAGTTGATGAAGGCAATCGAACGAAGTCTTGCTTAGTGGAATATCCTGCTTAAACCAAAGTACCTCTCTAGTCGCATAGCATGCACCAAGCCCACACAGAATGAGGTAATGCCCACTTTACCCACAATTGGCCAATCACCTCCCTCCCTTCACCCGGCCAATCGTTTCTCCCGAATTTCAACATTGGAATCCCGTCTCGAAGCTCCGAAATCATACGACAGCCGAACCTCACCTCTGACAACCACACCCAATCCCACCACCAAACGCCCGCGCAACACCGCAACAATGGCCTCCTTCGTCGCCCGCCGCACCTTCTCTACCTCCCTCCGCCGCTTCGCCGACGACCACGCCAAGCAGCAGCTCACCCAGGAGTCCAAGCGCAACCCCGAGCTCTACGTGCGTGATATCTCCCACCCAGCCCCAAAAAGACCCAGTTTCTCCAAATCCCGAAATAAAGCCTTGCATCACGATGCCTCCCTCTCCGCGACCACAACCACAACGCCGTCCGCCGAACACCCATAGTTCATCATTCCGCCCTTGAGATTGCGGAGACGGGCATGATATGGCTTTTCGGGTCGATTGGGGTGCGAGGGGCGGAAAAACGACGCAAGATGGAAGCTAATCGAATTTTCTACAACAGATCCTCGGCGCTGTCATGGCTGCCGCGCTCGGCGGTGCTGGTCTCTACTTCGGTAACCTCACCCCAACCCATTTCGCAAATTTCCGCAATCCCGCTGACCGTCGACCGCAGGCCGCACCCCCACCACCTCCACCTCCGAGAGCGCCGTCCTGAAGGCCGGTATGCCCTGGGAGACCGACTCCGAGGGCAAGTACAAGTACCACCCCGGCGGCAACCCCAACAACGAGCCCAAGGACGCCCCCAGCGCCGTCAACACCGTCATCATCCCCGACGTCACTCTCCCCAAGGTGCGTTTTTCCAAGCCGGCGAGGAAACAGGAACCTCATGAAGAGGATGGTCATGTGTCGCACGGAGGCAGGCTGCATTCTGCCGCTCCCTTCTCCAAACGACTGGCATCTCCTCGGACCAAGGACACTTTTAGGCTAACTGTTTTTCCTGCAGGAGTTGCACGACAAGTACAACAAGTGGGGCAAGGACGGCTACTAAAGAATTTAATGATACCGGCAGCGTAGACGAAGAAACGGGCATTCGCGCAAGCTGTCCAACGGACGGAAGGTGTGGTTTTCAATGTGTAGATGGGGAGAATTCAGAATTTTTGCTACAATTTTCTTGTTTACCCTATGCAATGGCCTTACGTTCACTCTCATCTATGGAGTTTCTCTCTCATCTAAACATGAGTCAAGACTCAAGTGACTGTCCTGGAAATCTGCCGCCCTCACTCGAAGAAATTGGTATCAGAATTCAACAGCATGCAATGAAGTCAGGTGGCATGTATTGATACTCCCACGAACAAGCCCTTTAGAGGTGACTCCAACTCCACCAACACCTCATATCACAGCCTACGCCTGCGCCAAGTCGTCGTCCCCCGTTTTACACCACACCCGCCCGGCCCGCTCTCTCTCTACGAAGCAAGCTGCTCAATCTCGTCACCAGTGAACCCGAACAGATACAGCAGATCCAACAGGCTCTCGCTGTTCAGCCGCGTGTCGGCCTCCATCTGCACCATCGGCTTCGCGTTCCACGCCACACCGAGCCCCGCCGCGCCCATCATCAGCAGGTCGTTCGCCCCGTCGCCGACCGCCACAACCTGCGCCAGCTCAATCCCCTCCTTGGCCGCGATCTCCACGAGGAGGTCGCGCTTGCGCTCCTTCCCGACAATCAGCCCCTTCACCTCGCCCGTCAGCGCGCCCGTCGCCTCGTCCACGACAACCTCGTTCGCGTGCGCGTGGTCGATGCCCAGCTCTCCCGCAAGCCAGGCCGTCAGCGGCAGGAAGCCGCCGGACAGCACGGCCGTCTTGACGCCGAGGCGCTTCAGCGCCTTGATCAGCGCGGGCACGCCGCGGGTGACGTCCAGCACAGGGCGCAGCGTCTCGAAGAAGGAGGCGGGCACGCCCTTGAGGAGCTGCACGCGCTCGCGGAAGGCGGCGTCGAACTCGAGCTCGCCGAGCATGGCGCGGTGGGTGATGTCGGCGACCTTCTCGGCGACGCCGGGCGGGCCGTGGGCGGCGAGCAGGTCGATGACCTCCTGGGTGATGAGGGTAGAGTCCATGTCGAAGACGACGAGGCGCGGGTGGCGGCGCCAGAGGGAGTCGGGCTGGAGGGCGACGTCGACGCCCCACTCGCGCTCGAAGCGGTAGATGAGCTCGTGGCGGCGCAGGTCGGTGAGGGAGAGGTAGCTGCGGCAGGGGGCCGGGTCGAGCGTGAGCTCGACGACGCGTGGGTTCGGCTGGGTGTCGAGGCAGCGGTGGGAGGAGGTGTAGTCGGAGCCGTCGTGGCCGGCGGGCAGCGGGAAGGTGGACATGAGGTGCAGGAAGGAGGAGACGCACATGGGCGAGATGTAGGAGCCGTAGAGGTGGTCGAGCTTCTCGGGCTCCGAGGCGGGCGGCTCGAGGGGGAAG